TCGGGGCACCAGGGAAAAAGCTCGTCAGAGCTGTTGCCATGAAAATATTTTTAGAAAAGACAGAGGGTAGCCACACCTCGACTGTGAAAAAGCGACTGAATTCGAGACGCTATGTCAGAATTGATTACATCGATTGGTTGTTGATATGCTGTAAAGCAAAATAGATCAAACAAAACCAAACCTGATTGGGTATGGAGCGAACAGCAACAGAAAACTTTCGATAAAACAAAAAAGATGAGGAATCTAGCTCAAATAATAGGAGTATTTTCTTTCTTTCTTCCCTTAGACCCAAAGAGCATTTCGAAAAATTCTTTCTTCTGTCGACAAAATTTTCTGTCCTTTGTAGCTCCTAGATTTTGATCGATTGCGATCTCTCCTAATCCCTGTTCTGCCATCCATATGCATATATACTCTCTAGGCAGGTTATGCGTTATTTTCTGATGCTCCTCTTGCCTTCAATCTGACATGTGAGTATCAAATTTTCCAAGCCAACTTTCCTTATTATGTGACAGCGTTATACTCAATTTTATACATCAAAGAATTAATGTCGTTACAAACACTCAAGGATATTTTGTAAATACCAAGAGATGTTATTATAATTTAGTAGTTTTTTTTTTACTGAATTTGATTTAAAGAAAAGTTATCTCATTAATTCTTAATAATCTCATTTAAATTGTTGTCAGCATTTATCACCTTGCTAAGAGTATTCACGTCATTTACCGGATTAAGGTATCTACTATAAAGATAAAAACCTGGATAAAGAATTCATAACTTATTCTCGTCATGTCTGTCTAAATCTGTATATATATATATATATATATATATATATAAAAGGCAGGATGTGTGTGTGTGTGTGTGTGTGTGTGTGTGTGTGTGTGTGTGTGTGTGTGTGTAATGCACGAATGCACGGCCGCAATTTTCGATGGATTTGCACCAAAATTTACATGTACATGCTCCAAGTTAGCGGGAAGGCCAAGACCGCATTTCCCAACTCCTATCGATTGTGGAAATAATCGATGTTTTAATGCTTCTACGGCACTTTTCATGTAGTTTGCGGCCATTTTCTACTGGACACAGTGAGAGCCAATAGCTGGCTGCCACGAATAGGTAGGAAGATTCAATTGACCAGCATGAGATCCAACAGCTGACTGACACGAATGTTAACTAGCATGCATAAAAAATCGATAGCTGCATTCGTCACAAGTGGGAAAAATTTAAATCTGCATGGCACTTTACTCCAATTGGCTCATTCGCTTGCTTAAAATCAACGTTGATTCTGATTCCGCAGAACTGGGTTGGGTGTGAAAAAGTATTTGTTGTTAACATTCTTTTTTCATTTCGGTTTATCACGTTATCGTTTTGTGTTCATTTTGTTTAGTTCTTTTTTCGTAACAGATTTAATGTTTAGTATAGAGCTTAGAAAAAATTTCGCAGTGTGAGATAGGCAAGAAGTAAGGCATGTAGCAACATCAGCACTGCAAAGGGCACTCCTTTAAAGGCATATTAAATATTTTAAGTCAAGTGAAAGCGATTGCTGTATGAGTCGTACGATTTTTGAATGAAGCACGGGCAACGCCGGGCCATGCTTTAGTATATATATATATATATATATATATATATATATATATATATATATATATATGCATTTCACCCCAAACAAGCAAGCGGGAGGGTCACTACTACGCTGTTGGTGAGGTGGCGGTGGGGTTAAAGAGAATTAAAGTTAGAGAAAACACTGGTTATAGTGGAGCTTGAGGAAACTATAAAAGATGAATAGGATTCAATTCAATAGATGATGGCGATTGACGCTGCATTTAAACTTTTGAAGAGTGTAATTATCACAAGAAGACTGTAAAGCGAAGGGAGTTCCACAAGCGAGAAGTGAGAGAAAAGAAACTGTTCGTGTAGAAGTGGCGGTTACATTTAATTATCTGAAAAGTAAAATAGTGGGACCTAAACGCCAATCTAGTAGCACTCGGAGCACCAGGGGATAAAACCTCGTCAGATCAGTTGCAGTAAAAAGACAGGGTGAAAAAATTGACTGAAGTTGACATGCCAGGGAACGAACTAGTATAATGCCGATCTTTCTTTCGATCTTGCCCAGAACATCGATATAAATAGCAAAAACACCAGACCAGATATGGCAGAAATGCAAGGAAAAATGGTAGTTTTGTAAATGTGTACGATGGACGCAAACGAAAAAAAAAGATGATTCAACTTTCCTTGCAGTAGATTCAGCTGTTCCACTTCAAGTCAGATAAAAACATGAGGCCAAGAAACCTTGGCTTTTCAGGAGTCTGATGGCAGAAATGTTTCTCTATGATGATTAAATAAAAAGCAATGTTGTTTTCAAAAGATTTAATATCATTTACTATTTGAGTTCCCATATATCTAAACATATATCTATATATCTCAACTCTCTTCTATATGTGGAACTAGGCAGACGTGACGAAAATGAAAGATGAATTGTTTATCCGGTTTTACTCTTTATGGTTGATAAATCAATCAGAGTTTTGACGTGAATGCTCATGGCAACGGAATATATACTGACAATAATATAAATTAGATTATTTAAATTAATGTGATCTTCAAATAAAATTCAGTAAAAAAAAAGGTACAAAGTTATCATAAAAAATCTATTTTTATTTTGTAAATCCACTTTGATCATTTCTACCAACATTAATACTTTGATGTACAAACTTCACACTTTATCAGTCCTACTATATGTCAGTGAATGCCGGACAATCTCTTCACGAATGAAGAAGAGACTTGAAACAAGAGAAACAAAGAAAAGTGTATTGAACTGTTACGTAATATCAGTCCTCCTATATGGCAGTGAATGCTGGACAATCTCCTCACAGATGAAGAAGAGACTTGAAGCAAGAGAAACAAAGAAAAGTGTATTGTACTGTTACGTAATATCAGTCCTCCTATATGGCAGTGAATGCTGGACAATCTCCTCACAGATGAAGAAGAGACTTAAAGCAAGGGAAACAAAGAAAAGTGTACTGTACTGTTACGTAATATCAGTCCTCCTATATGGCAGTGAATGCTGGACAATCTCCTCACAGATGAAGAAGAGACTTAAAGCAAGAGAAACAAAGAAAAGTGTACTGTACTGTTACGTAATATCAGTCCTCCTATATGGCAGTGAATGCTGGAGAATCTCCTCACAGATGAAGAAGAGACTTGAAGCAAGAGAAACAAAGAAAAGTGTACTGTACTGTTACGTAATATCAGTCCTCCTATATGGCAGTGAATGCTGGACAATCTCCTCACAGATGAAGAAGAGACTTAAACAAGAGAAACAAAGAAAAGTGTACTGTACTGTTACGTAATATCAGTCCTCCTATATGGCAGTGAATGCTGGACAATCTCCTCACAGATGAAGAAGAGACTTAAAGCAAGAGAAACAAAGAAAAGTGTACTGTACTGTTACGTAATATCAGTCCTCCTATATGGCAGTGAATGCTGGACAATCTCCTCACAGATGAAGAAGAGACTTAAAGCAAGGGAAACAAAGAAAAGTGTACTGTACTGTTACGTAATATCAGTCCTCCTATATGGCAGTGAATGCTGGACAATCTCCTCACAGATGAAGAAGAGACTTAAAGCAAGAGAAACAAAGAAAAGTGTACTGTACTGTTACGTAATATCAGTCCTCCTATATGGCAGTGAATGCTGGACAATCTCCTCACAGATGAAGAAGAGACTTGAAGCAAGCGAAACAAAGAAAAGTGTACTGTACTGTTACGTAATATCAGTCCTCCTATATGGCAGTGAATGCTGGACAATCTCCTCACAGATGAAGAAGAGACTTAAAGCAAGAGAAACAAAGAAAAAGTGTACTGTACTGTTACGTAATATCAGTCCTCCTATATGGCAGTGAATGCTGGACAATCTCCTCACAGATGAAGAAGAGACTTAAAGCAAGGGAAACAAAGAAAAAGTGTACTGTACTGTTACGTAATATCAGTCCTCCTATATGGCAGTGAATGCTGGACAATCTCCTCACAGATGAAGAAGAGACTTAAAGCAAGAGAAACAAAAAAAGTGTACTGTACTGTTACGTAATATCAGTCCTCCTATATGGCAGTGAATGCTGGACAATCTCCTCACAGATAAAGAAGAGACTTAAAGCAAGGGAAACAAAGAAAAGTGTACTGTACTGTTACGTAATATCAGTCCTCCTATATGGCAGTGAATGCTGGACAATCTCTCTCACAGATGAAGAAGAGACTTGAAACAAGAGAAAAAAAAGAAAAGAGTTCTGAAATTTTATGTAATATCAGTCCTCCTATATGGCAGTGAATGCTGGACAATCTCCTCACAGATGAAGAAGACTTGAAGCAAGAGAAACAAAGAAAAGTGTACTGTACTGTTACATAATATCAGTCCTCCTATATGGCAGTGAATGCTGGACAATCCTCACAGATGAAGAAGAGACTTAAAGCAAGAGAAACAAAGAAAAGTTTGTACTGTACTGTTACGTAATATCAGTCCTCCTATATGGCAGTGAATGCTGGACAATCTCCTCACAGATAAAGAAGAGACTTAAAGCAAGAGAAACAATGAAAAGTGTACTGTACTGTTACGTAATATCAGTCCTCTTATATGGCAGTGAATGCTGGACAATCTCCTCACAGATGAAGAAGAGGCTTGAAACAAGAGAAACAAAAAAAAGAGTACTGAACTCTTATGTAATATCAGTCCTCTTATATGGCAATGAATGCTGGACAATCTCTTCGCACATGAAGAAGAGACTTGAAGCAAGAGAAACAAAGAAAAGTGTAGTTAACTGTTACCTTATATCAGAAAGAAATATGGCACTGAATGCTGGACAATTTCCTCAAGGATGAAGAGGAGACTTAAAACAAGAGATACTAAGAAAAGAGTTCTGAACTATTACGTAATATCTGAAAGAAAAAATATGTGCAGTGAAGGCTGAACTTGCTGCAAAAGAAATGTATCTCTACAGAAGGATGATGAGAATATCATAC